TTTTAGTATTTCAAATTGTATTCATATTTTTAACTATTTAAGTTTGTTAGGGCAACATTTATAATTTGTTTAGGTTTTCATCTAATATTTTAAGAACTTACTACCTTTATTTATTACATTTATTTCAGTTTTAGTCATTTTTGTACTTATTTCAACTAGTTACCAAGGCAACCTTTCTATTTGTTTGTTTGTTTGTTTTTGTTTCTAAGTTTGTTCTTCATCAAATATTTGAAGTACACGGCACAAAATGATTTTCTTAGTGTTTTTGTCGTTTTCTAGTATAAATATCTAAAAATTAATCAGTCTTGAATCAAGATGCATTTATTTTACAAGTGAAATGACTTGAGATATTATGTCTTGTTTTCTGAAAAAATTGTCAATTTTATAAGTTTTTGCTTAAAACGAACAAAACTATCTGTCAATGGGGAAAGAAAAATAATCTTGTTTAGCCTTTGAATTAAGATTTTTTTTCTTTCCCCATTGACCTATTTTTGCTCGTTTTAAGCAAAAAACGTATTTATTTTATTATATAACTTTATTTTTTATTTTTTTAGAGAACAAGACTTGATATCTTAAGTCATTTCACTTGTCAAGTAAATGCATCTTGATTCAAGAATGTTTGGATATTTATACTAGAAAACAAGACAAGAATACTAAGTAAGAATATCATTTTTTTGCAGTGCATTTATTAATTAGCTTTTAATTTTTATATATTCAGTTTTAATTTTAGTTTAAGTTTTAGTTATGGTCTTGTCGTTTTTTCTTTTTCTTTTTTGTTTAAATTTTTTTAATGTAAGTTTTTGTTATTTAAGTACTTCAACTTATTCGTATTTATTTAAGTTAGTTTGCAAGGCAACATTTCAAATTTTTTATTTTTTTTTCCCCAAGTTTACATTTGCCACCTAATATTTATTTTCATTTCAGATTTATTTCAATGAATGAAAATAATTTTTAATAGTTTTATTTTTTACCACGTTCCATTCATTCACGCATGTAGTTATGGCCAGTATGAAGTGCAGTGAGGATGTGTCTGTGGTCTGTGTGTCAGGTGGTGCGATGCCTCAACAGTTACAGGCCTTCCAGGTTCACCCCAGTCCTCAAAGCAGTGACAGCAGTCCAGAGATCAGCCAGACCTCCACCAGCTCCACTGGTAGTTACAGCATCACCCTTTCTTGCGCTCAGATACTGCTCTGATCAGTGACTTCAGTAAGACGTCTCCTCTGTCTCTCCCACAGCAAGCCACACCGCTACGATAGTCACTTCCTCAGTGCCTTCTTCAGTGGCAGGTCACATGATGTACCCCGGAGCGCACGTCATGTACGCTACATCCACCCCTACCCTTGCCGACGGGGGTCTAACTGTGCTCAATACCTTCCCACAAACACCCGCCGCGATGCACATGTCCCACACACAAGCCCAAGACTCAGGTCCGTCAGACGTCACCGTGTGTGTTAATGTCTCGCTTTAAGATGCACGGGTAGTCTTTAAACAACATTGAAAAGTCAGGAACTTATGCTAAATCTGACAATTACGAATGTACTTCCATTGTTACGAGGCTCTTTGTTTTGTTTTGCTCGTGTTTAGGTGCAGTTCCTCAGATGTTTTTCACAGGACCTCCTGGAACCGTACAGATCCCAGTTTCAGCCGTTCCACTACATTCGGTAATATAGCTAACAATACAATAAATGTCATGAAAAGCTATGTACTTTGCCTCACACGGGTTCCGCTGAGAATGTTTTGCATTGTTGTATCCAAAAGTTTAATGGGTTTTGTTTGTAGGAGTAGCTTCTGAAACAGGCCTATTAATGTTCTAGTTAGTAGAATTTTTTTTTTTTTTCTTGAATCACATCTTTTCTCATAATATTGTTTTTGTTATTTAAGTACTTCAACTTATTCGTATTTATTTAAGTTAGTTTGCAAGGCAACATTTCAAATTTTTTTTATTTTTTTCCCCAAGTTTACATTTGCCACCTAATATTTATTTTCATTTCAGATTTATTTCAATGAATGAAAATAATTTTTAATAGTTTTATTTTTTACCACGTTCCATTCATTCACGCATGTAGTTATGGCCAGTATGAAGTGCAGTGAGGATGTGTCTGTGGTCTGTGTGTCAGGTGGTGCGATGCCTCAACAGTTACAGGCCTTCCAGGTTCACCCCAGTCCTCAAAGCAGTGACAGCAGTCCAGAGATCAGCCAGACCTCCACCAGCTCCACTGGTACTTACTTTTCTAGTTATTTCAAAACTATTAAGCTTTTTCTTAAAAAAATTCCGCCTTTATTCTCAGAATAGTCAAATTTAATTTTTAATTTTTTCCCTATTATGGATTTTTGAAAATTAGCTTTCATGCAGTGTATAACACGGCTCTAAGTGAATGAAAATATCCTGCAAAGTTTTAAATCTGACAGTGCACCATGTATAAAGTCATTGTCTCTCAAAAGAAAGAGTCGACTCTGAATCATTTAAACGTGTCGTTTTTAAAACCAATCCCAAGCCGTTTCAACTTGATGTCAACATGAAACATTAGCATATTGCACGCCCACTTGATGGTCTTTTCGCGCTTTTCGCGTTGAAAATGCAAATTAATTCTTTGCCACTAGGTGCCGCTTTTGGAGCGGTAAAAATAGCTGAAATAGCTGTAGGCTGTACACAAAGCAGCACTGCGCTCACAAACGCTGCTTTTTTCGGGCATTACAGGCATGATGAAATGAAAATTAGACCAATCGGACCAATCACCGCAGATTAGCGTCACGCAAAGGAGGGGTTTGGAAAAATGAATTGTGATTAGCGTCACGCAAAGGAGGGGTTTGGAAAAATTAATCGTTGAGCGAATCGTTTGGGTGTTGTTGAGCAAGTAAGGTAAAAATAAATGCATATTAATAAGACAATGAAAGTGTTTTTTGACCTTGCATGCATGTAAAACAAAACATTACGACTGTATTTTCAAAGCATTTTACTTTTATTCTTGCAATGTTTTGACATAAATATTGTAACGTTATGATCATTTTTTTAAACTAATTTCGTTCTCATAACATTGCGATTTTATTGTTAAACTGTACAACTTTATTTTTAAACTACTGTGACCGTTGTTGTAATGTTATATTTATTCTCATAACAGCGGGTTTGTTCTTGTAATGCTACATCTTTATTCTCATAACATTAGGCCTTTCATTTGTGATTTTATTCTTATAACATTATGCCTTTGTTCTTGTAATGTTACAAGATTGTTCTCAAAAATTGCGGTTTTATTTTACAAACAGTGCTGTTATTCTCAACACATTTCAACTTTATATTCTTGCAATGTTTTGACATTCTTGTAACATTACTCTGACAGTTTCAAATCAATTTTGTTCTCTTTACATTACGACTTCATGTAGAGTAAGAGTATGGCTTAAAACAGTTTCTTTCTATTTGTAATGTTATGTCTTTAGTCTCATAACAACACCTTTATTCTTGTAATGTTACATCTGTATTTAAAAGTTACTGCTTTATTCATGTAACATTGCTTTTAATCTTGTAACATTAGGCTTTTGCTCTCGTCATTTTATAACTCTATTCTTGTAACATTAGGCTTTCACTTTCATAACGTTATGATTTTATTCTTATATTATGCCTTTGTTCTTGTAATGTTACATCCTTATTCTTTAAATGTTACTGCTTTCTTGTAACACAATGCCTTTAATCTTGTCACATTAGGCTTTTACTATTACTATAACGTTACGTTTTTGTTTTTGTAATGTAACAAGATTGTTCTCAAAACATTACGCCTTTATTTTAGTAACACTATGCCATTATTTCCAAAACATTACACCTTTATTCTTCTAATGTTTTGACATTATTCTCACTACATAACGTTTGTATTCGCAACAATTTTGTTCTCGACTTTTCTCAAAACATTCTAACTGTTCTTGTAATGTTGTGACCACTATTTTAATGTGCCATTAAAACGCCATTGCAGATAATAGTATGACTCACAGTTAGCAAAGTGCTGTTTATTCACTTTTAACTGCACATATGCTTATGAAGACGGATAAGAGTGCGCAGTAACTCGGCTCCTCTAACAGTTTTGTTTCTGTTTTTTCAGATGTTGATAAACCAGCAGCCCACCGGTAGCAGCAGCGCCACCCTCACGGAGCTGCGGGTGGTGAATCTGGACAATCCCAAAGGAGACTGACCCGTAACGCAGGAGGCCGGTGTGACCGTTCACTCGCACTGATATTCCAGGGATCACTCATGCCATGCAGTCAGACTGCCATTGTATTTATTACTGCCTTCTCGCTGCGTGGGACATGCGTCAATAATGAGGTGTAACGGGACGTTTGAAGGATGATCACGTCTCCTCACGGACTCGTTTTGGTGGGTAGTGTGATAATGGATGATTTTTGTTCACGCGCATCTATACTTCAGGATTTCATAGAGACGTGTCTGCACTATCGCTTCTGGGTCTTCACCTGTTTTTGCCGAGAGGTGTACGATTATGTTCACTTTCAGTAAATTCAAAACCTCTTCGCTGTACAACAGTTGAAGGATCTTCAGTTCAATCTTTCTTTCTTTTGGGAATGCCTCTCTTGATCTGATTTGTAATTCGTTTTTCTTTTGAGGTAAAAAATGGATTCTTTCCAGAGTTTATGTTGTGAAATCAGCTCTTCGGTATAGTTCCAATGGCGGTATGTGTGTTATTTATCGCTTTAACCACTTAAGCTCAGGGCGTTTTTTGGTATTTTCGCCTAAATTTAACATACTCAAATTCAAATGTTTACCCTGCACACATACAATGGAGGAAATGAAAAAAAAATGGTTTCATTGTAAAGAAAACCGATTAGATTAACGTCGGTAGACTTGAACTTGAAAAATGTGTATTGATGTCTTTCTGCGGTTGAAACAAGATACCTTCTGATGTTCATTCATGTTTATTTTGTGCTATAGCTAGTAAATATGAAAAGACAATCAGTTCACGTGCTGCTTGATCTGAGGCGCTACAGCGATCTCTCACGACAAATTAAAGAGCCACAAAACTGTATTTATGGTTTGGATTTCTTAAATTACAAAATTTGAAAGCTGAGACTTTGTTTCTTACCAAAAGTAACCTGCTCTGTCTTGTCTGTCGGCACGTTGTTAAGTTTCCTCTTAGCTCCGTGATGCATTTTTCACACCGTGAGAACTTGGGGGCGAGTCTTTGCGACGGGTCAATTACAAGTTTATTAAATACCGATTATTTCTATGTGAACATGATTCGTACTGCAAAAATGTCGGAAAAAGATCGCATGCCATTCCATATTGTAATGCTGTGCCAAACTATGCTGTACGTATCGATAGCTGGAGTTGAATCTAGCTGTCAGAAGCCGAGTTTTCTGCTTCAAGGCTTCACGTGCTTCCACTTTTTATGATGCTGTAAGAGAAAAACACTGACTTGCATTTGCACTGCATGACAACCTACCGAAAACGGCGGTGCTGCGTGATCACAGGTGAATAAATGATGTGGATTGTGCTCTCGTGGCTTATTTAGTTTACCGAAATATTAAAATACGTGATGGATCTGCTACTAGGTACTAGAATGGCATTTTTTATTTTATTTTTTCAAAACAACTTATTTTAACTGAAATAAGTTAAATCAAAAGTAGTAAAAGTGTTTATACGTGCACCCATATATTAATATTGTAAACGTTTTTTCTTTAATTTGTCACCTTGTTTAATTTTTTTTTTATATTTCATTTGGATTTCTCGCGACATCCAAAGGGCTGTAAATCTCAACTTGTGTGTACGATTCATTTGGTTTCTCTCCACAGATTTCACTCATTCAGACTGCAAGTTTGGACCATAAAGCCTTTTTCTCGTACTGTTAAACCGATTTAAATGGACCACGGCAATACTGAGAGATTCAGGAATGACGTTGTCTCTTCTTTTTGTGCATTTTTAGTTTGTGGATCTGAGCACAACATGTTGACCTGTTTGACCCGCGCAAACCGGATAACGGATGAAAAAAACATTGTGGGATTTATGAAGCGGCCAGAACAAAAGTATTTGACTCTTTTATTCAGTATTAATGCATTTTAAGTCCAGGGGAAGACTTTTTTTGAGTTTATTATGTTCTTAGGTGAATTTCATGAATGCTTCCAAGAACTTGTCCAGGTCATATTTCACTCCCATCCAAAAGGAAAAAAATAATTTTGCGTGAAGTATTAAAGGAATAGTTCACCAAAAATGTCAAATTTGCTTAAAATGTGCTCACCCTCAGGTCATCTGAGATGTAGATGAGCTTGTTTCTTCATCAGATCTGGAGAAATGTAGCATTGCATCACTTGCTCACCAATGGATGCTCTGCAGTGAATGGGTGCCGTCAGAATGAGAGAATATTTTTCCCCAAGCAAAGGTTTAAAGCGTCTTGATGTTTTGTTTCTTACAAACACACAGCTTTTCACTTCACAAGACATTAACTGATGGACTGTAGTTGTGTGGATTGCTTGTGGATTATTGTGATGTCTTTATCAGCTGTTTGGACTCTCATTCTGACGGCACCCATTCACTGCAGAGCATCCATTGGTGACTCATTCTGACGGCACCCATTCACTGCAGAGCATCCACTGGTGAGCAAGTGATGCAATGGTACATTTCTCCAAATCTGATTTTGGGTGAACTATTACTTTTTTTTTTTTTCTTTTCTTTTTTTTTGTCTTAAGACATTTTAAACCACATTTTTGCTCAGTTCTGATTCAGAAAAAAATTAATAAAATGAAAAATTGTAAGGTGGTTAGATATTGTTAGTATTGTTAAATAGCTTTTTAATTAATGAAAAATATATTTTTAACTGTATTACAATAATAACACTCACATTTGAAAATATTGATATTAGGGATACACTTAATTGTCATGAAAATATTTTCACAATGCAAAAAAAAAAAGTTAGTGGTTTTTGCTTTATGTGAAGTATTCTCATTTTTATTTTTTGAGTGAAATATGACCTGTGTTTGACTGTCTTTATATCGGCTGTTATAGTATTGTACATAATCTGATTTCTGACTTTAACAAACTGTAAGTAGCTCATATGGCTGCGTTTGAAATTAAAATGTTTCTGCACCCTGGATATAGTTTCAATGTGAAGCACAGACGTCTGTCAGTGCTGGTTTTTTCTCTCTTTCCTTTAGCACAGTGTAACCAGTCGTGGATGAAACGTTTGCTTTATGTTCATTATCTTCTACGTGCCATTTTCTGAAGAATTAGGTTTGTTTTTGTATTACATGCTGGGTAAGTTTTAATTTGATTAAAATTTAAGTTGATATTACGAACACTGAAAGCGAAATCCTGTTTTAACCACTAATACACACTTGTTGTAAAAGAAATGCTGTAATTATGTATAGAGCTTTCTTTTGTAATAGAAAGATTTGAGAATAATTTCACACAAGCTGGACATCGTGAGTGATGCATTTTAAAATAGTGTAATGTTTTCATGTAAATCAACTTTTGTCAAGTTAGTCTGATGCAGACATATTGCTCATACTACACACTTGTATTGTTTCTGCAGTAAGTTCACTGTTCTTAGTATGCAAAATTTAGCTTCTATGTTTAACACAATTTGAATACTGAATCCCAAAATGCGATGCACTTGACTCTCCATTTCAACCTTACAGTTAGTATCTGAATGTTATCAAATTTACGTGTTCGTAATGACACTGTTTTAAAGAAATAGTTCACCCAAGATTATAATTTGCTAAGAAATGTACTCACCCTCAGGTCATCTGAGATGTGGATGAGTTTGTTTATTCATCAGATTTGGAGAAATGTAGCATCGCATCAGTGTCTCAGCAATGGATGCTCTGCAGTGAATGGGTGCCGTCAGAATGAGAGTCCAAACAGCTGATAAAAACATCACAATAATCCACACCACTCCAGCCCATCAGTTAATGCCTTGCAAAGTGAAAAGCTGCGTGTTTGTAAGAAACAAATCCATCAAGACAT